TGCAAATATTTTAATCTGAAGGACGTTCTGAAGGTCAGTTGTCCTCATTTTGTTATAACTTATGTGTATCAAGAGTTTGGAGAGATTAGTTGCAACAAAATATAATTTATTCTCGTTTTATTTTATAAAGAATAATTTTGTTTTCGCGTGATTAAAATATATTGATTCACGGTCATTGGAACTGCCATGATATTGTTATAAATATCTCTTGCAATTTAGAGCAGACTCATTTTAATATAATTGAAATACGTCTTTTTCAACCTGAATCGTGTCAAAGCATGTAGAAATATCGACAGATCTATTCTTTCTTCAACACAAATGAGAATAACTCAAAGAGTTTATGGTTAAGTAAGGTCCGTGAGAGTTAAAAACTTATCACTGAAATATTGTCGCTCATATACTAGACGTATTTTACACAATTACTAGCACCTGCTTTTGAAAATCACCCGTTACTTTAAGGTGAAAATACTGCATAATGAATGCTCGCAGTAAATCATCGGTCTTAATGTGCGGTTTTTTCGAGGGATTTTTTCTTGAGTCTTATTAATCGACTCGAAATTAACAAACGAATCAGTGTTCCTAGTGCAATTCCCAGGTTAATTTATTGGTTCGAATACAGCAGCACATGTGCTCCAGCTTTACCGAGAATCAGGTTATTAAACAATCAAATAACTACATCAGTGCCAGTATTACAGACCCTCCAGAATTTATCGAACTTCATTTTATCAGTGCAGGTGATATATTTATTCTCTCACACAAAATAATCTATACTGTGTTTGTCTTGTAGTATGAGTGTTAAGCATGGCCATTGAATGTAGGTCTGTGGTAACTGCAGGCATTTAAACATTTATTACATTAATCTTACCTTAGTGTAATATCTTAAGTCTGGGTCAAACTTACAGGTAGGCTGAATGCCCGTTATCTTGTGTGTCTCATATATTTTATATTTGGCTATCAACCGTATTGTTCAGAGTGCAGTATTTGTAGAAGTATACCGAGTCTAAAGACAGTCAAATTTGATCATATCAAGACACCAGTTACTGGGACTACCGACTGCGAACCTGTAGGATAAGTGGGATTTGCTGTTAAGAGTTTGAAGTGATGTCGCTCAAAATAGATCACAATTATGCAGTTGCTTTCTTATTGCGCTTTTTTATTCTTTTCTCTGCATTTTCTCCTCTTCAGGAACACATTTTCACATTATTTACTCCCACCCAGATTTATCTGTTTTTATATATGGCATTAGTTAAGGTCCTACGTCGTTACTGAAAATTACGTAGTCTCAATTTTCGAGTTTGCTTCCTAATATAAGGGCTGGTAGTTCACATAAATGTATAGGACTACAACAGACTGCTAGGAACCCATATCCACGAGGCGTAGAAAGGTCGCTTGAACGATTAGGCCAAATGAATGATTATATATCTTGTAGTTATCTGTACTGAAGAAATCTCTTCACGAATACAAACAGCTCCTGTGGCATTTGTCTACTGGCGTAGAAAGTGGTACACGTAAATGTCTAAAAGTTGTGTGAGTTGATATGATTATGAGCAACAAATTTTGCTCGAAATGTCATCAGTAAAAAGTGCTGTATAAAATTGTGATTTTATCAAATAACTCCACCCTACAATGAAGTTGTAGTCTGCCATATGGGCCAAGTTCTATTCTAACATCAATAAAATCACTTTGCAAATCTGCTTCATATATTCACAATATTTGAATTCTCTACGTTTACTTATTTAGACATAGTGAAATGAACATTTTACGGGCAGGTCACGGAGTTTTCTATTGCGCCAGACTGTTTGTCTCTAATTTCCCAACTGAAGTTGCCAATTCAACAATGTTTGGTGTTCAGTCTCGATTTTATAAAGTTCATGATCATCTGGTTCGAAGGTGTCGGGATTGTTATTTCGACAGACGTGACGGCAGACTTTATGTTGAGTGCAAAACTCATAAACGTCATAAGCAAGCCCAAAAAATGAATCCACACAAAGAACCGTGGAAATACAAACGTGCGGTGTGGAGAAGTGTATGCTGGTAGATTAATAGCTTAATATATGTACCATAATCGAAATAAAATTTTTCTCTCACTAAATTTTTCGTCTTTTAAAACTTCATTAAAGCGTTTTTATAATGTTTTAACTGTTGTTGACGATGAAGTCTATGTTTCTACCGAAATGTGAAGACACTAGTCAATGTTGCAGGTTACTCGAAATAATAAGTTTCATCTGAATTCCAACAAAATGAAGTAAATTAAAGTTGTGGGTTTCCCTTTTGAAATGAAAACGTTAATTATTCACTCATTTAATGCAGCTAATTAGTTACCGATTTCACACATAGCTAAGCAGAAGGTGAAGAATGTATAAAATAGTTAAATTATTAAAACACTAATATATTCAGAGGCATGACTTAATTGAGTTATTGGTGTTTTCATGAGGTCGCGTTTGAATTTGCGACTGTGGTGAACGTTAACATCCCACAGTTTGAATTCTTCTTCGTTTAGACTTTACTAACTGGTTCCCTCATCTTCGTATTATGTAACAGTGCTTTTAACATACGCAGTGAGTGCTGCAAACATCAAATGCCACTACCATTCCTATTCAGACAATTTCGACTGCATTTAACGCGAAGTACCTCTGATATTAGACGTTCTTTGTAATATCTGAGTTGCTATATATAAGCTGAGATTTTGTAAATTCTAGTTTAGATAAAGCAATAAGAAGACGTAATTTGTCTGAATCGTGTAATGTATTTGCGCAACACATTTCGAACAATCTGATCACACACGGACTTGTCATAGGAATATATATGAAATTAATAAAGAGGTAAGAGGTGAGAAAATAGACTTAGATCAAGTTAAAAGGACATATTCAGGGTCAAAATAACAATGAAGATCACTAAACCAAATAGCAGAGGTAATAGCACAACTGCTATGGTATCGAAACAAAATTTACCAAGGAAGGTTTAATGTGATGACGAATTGTTTTGAACGCATAAAGGTGGCTTAAACTTGCTAGGGCTTCCACAAACTTTAGGATACGCCCCAAACACGTTTTATAGATAGGTTTAAAAGATCTGTTAACGTCAATTTTATGTCCTGTCTCTATAATATGTTTCGCAATAGAAGAGCTAGTTCTCCTGTTCTCACCGTTAATAGGTTCTGAAGATCCCATTTGTTTCTGGAGCTATTTAGGAATATGCTCCGAAGCCCTTACTTGCAGAGATCGATGAGTCCTCCCTATGTACGTGTGTCCACACGTACATTCAAATTGGTAGATACAGTGCGATGTAATGTCATTTTTCGCATCTTCGAAGGGCTTAGATAGATATATTGGCTTTACATTCTTTGTTATTATGATATTAGCCGCATAAAAAGTCTTTTGACAGCAGCGTTCAGTCTTTGTCTGGTTATCAAGCTGCTTTGATGCCCCATATAGAGTAGCTTGATGTACACGTCTTTCTTAGGGGCAGATGGAGAGTGGGTCTTGCATTAAATAGCGACACGTCAGTAAAAGCAATATCGTTTTGTTTTACATTCATTGGGAAATCCAAAAACTTTTTTAATAATGAATATCATATACTCAATGCCCAATTTTTTGAAACTATTAAAAGTGAACTTGGCTTGGATATAAATAACTAGCACGGACTGCTTTGCTCCGTGCATTCTTGTAATACTGGTGTTATAAAATAGGTGTTTATCCTGGTGTCAGTTTTTCTGTCATCTTTACTGGTCATCTCATATCTTGTTGATTTCATGGAAAGTGTTTTATTTGACGTGGTGGTACATAAGCAAATTGAGACTCTGGCATAATTCGACCTCCCCTTACAGTTAATTAATCCATGAATTCTACTCACCCCCCCCATTTAATCTTCCTTGAGCTTCTTAATAAAAAAAGATTATATCCTACCAAGTTGAACTTTGAAGGCTGTTGAACAGCACTAATTGTGTGACTTTGACCCGACTAACTGACACTGTTTCTGACGGATACTTAAATTCGCGCTAGTTAGCTGAGGTTATGTTGTCAGATATTGGACACCTGTTTCGCTTACAACTTTCTCATCTTATCTGTTTCTTAAAGAAAATCTAGAAGTAATTTTATTAGGATTTATGCTTGTACGGTTAAATATACAAATGCAGCCATACTCTATTTAGCACTGGTGCTGTATGGAAAAATGAGTGTCAAACACACTTTATAGTCTATAAATAAACAGCCTTCTACTCCATTGCAGTCAATCAATCACTTATGCATTATTACTGCTCATATTCACATCCTTATTAACTTCAGTTTTCGTCTGTCTGTTTTCAACATGGAACTTTGCACCGATGTGTAGCAGTTCAAGTCGCCACATTCCATGTAGCACACAAAGCAAGAGAAAAAAAATGCAAAACAGAGACAGTAGACAGGAATGTGAGACAAAAGGAATAGTAATATCGAAGAATAATGTAGTTTCATCGGGAATTATAAGTCACAGAGTGGATGCATCTGCGCCAGCCATTGAGAACGATTTTGAACACTATCACCAATTGTCTGCAGCCATTGGTGTTTACCGTCCTGAGGGCCCCAACCAGTCAGCAAGTCTACACCTTCGTACGTGACTGGCTTAAACTAACTGTTGTGGATTTCATTGGCTGATAAAGCCATGTTTTGGTTTGACCACCGCTAGCTCTTTTCCACCCTGACTGTGTCAGCTAACATTGCCCATAGTCGAGGAAGGCAATTGATGGCTAGGCATGCTTGCGTAACCCGTGTCCTGACCACCTCAGTCGATGTAGCTTCACACCCTCGTCGATTGATTTCCCCTCACCTAGTTACCTAGCACTCGACCGATACCTAACCTCAATATTGCTCGCCCTACTATACCACTTCATACGGGAGAGATAGATCGTTTGCACAATATTGCTATGTTTCATAAGTGTTATATGTGGTGTTCGTTAAAAAATAAAGCAAAATCTCAGCAAAACTCGAGCGGAATTCGTGAAAGCATGATAAGAGTCACTAGCATAATATTGGAGCGAAGTATATTTATTTAAATCACAATTTATATACAAATAATGTTTAGAGAGTTCGCAAAAAATCATCGTAATCCTTCTCTGTAGTAAACCCATACTTTTGACAAAATTCTTCATCTGTTTGCGCAACCACGGTACTGAGGGGTGTGTACAACGGTCTATAAAGAAGAAGAATAGTAAATTTCATTAAAATTGAAATCTCAAAGACAGCACTAAAACGACTGAGGCCTGATACCGGCTGACATTGTGAATTGAATACCGTTAAATTAACTGAATCTGTAGTTAGTTAGCTAGCTAGTTATACAAACGCCTTTTTTAAAAATTGTAACGTTAATTACACCACTGATTAAACAGATTCAGTTACTATTTCGATCGTCTATCCTGTAAAGATAAGTTATATCATAACATTTTATAATTAGTTGCAACTATAATGCAACTTTCATTTCACAGAGATTATATTTGCAAGAAGTTTACCTTGTCACACTGAGTTCCCCTAAATGCATCTTTTAATTTACCAGGTTACAATTAGTTAGAAAAGTTTGAATTTGAAGAATAACAATCGCTATATTGGTCCATAAATTGTATTGAATGTTTTGTTGTCTCAGCAAATATTAATCCAATTCAGGAAGATAAGAAAATATCCATAGTGTAAGTTAAGTAAGACTAACTATCCATACGCAGAAAAACAAACAAACAAGCGCCTCTTTAAAGTGCATTACTTATCACGAAATTAAACTCACTTGGCTGGATCCGGTTGGAACAAATTTCGCCTTACGAGGAATGTGCATCTTTGATAGAGTATATGTGGTGATGTAGTTAATGCTTCTGGCCACATAGGTATGACATCAACTGGAAGGTTAAGACGCCAATGCATCATAGTGAAGTTATTTGACAAATGGTCGCGTTCTGTTAAAGGATCGTGAAAACAGAATACAATCTGGTTACTCGGTAACAGTGAAACAGACAGTGTGCTACAATTTTTTTTAGCTTTCTAAACAAAATTAAACTTATTTGATGATTACCAGACTTGATCGTCTATCACAACACACATTTAAAGTTCTGGAAAACGTCAAAGTCTCTGGATCTTTCATATATTTGTGTTCCTTTATGCACATAAAAATCTTGGAGGATAGGGATTTCGCCGATGATATATGTCTGATTTCCCACAAACTGGAAGATATGAAAGTGAAAAGAAACAAGTTGGCCGAAGAAGCATCAAAGGTAGGAGGAACTTCAACTGAACATAGAGAAAACAGACATAGGTGATGAAAATTCCTGGCCAACAGCCATAGCAACAACAGACAACAATCAGCATAAATAAATGAAATCTGAAAGAAGCAACCTCCTTTACCTACCTGGTAAGTATTGTTTCAATTACAGGCGGGCGAAACTGATGAGAATGTCAAAGCGAGGAACATCGAGAAAGCAAGGCAAGCGTTCATTACTCTCAAGTCTGTGTGGAGATCAACAGCACTCAGCATGAAATATAAGGTCCGGATTCTCAACTCCAAAGTGAAGTCAGTGTTACTATACTGATCAGAGACTTGGAGCTGCGTCACGAAGGCCACTTCGAACAAACTGCAGACCTTCATCAACAGCTGTTTTCGCTCAGTACTGCTCAAGATCAGATGGCCGACCAGAAAAGATCAGCAACAGGGTGGGATCTCTAGCGATGAGCGAACTAACTCAGCAGGAAGCGATTGTGCAACATATATGCAGGAAGAAATGGAGGTAGAGTGGATTGTGGCCATACTCTGAGGAAACCAGCCATCAACTAAGTGACATCACACTCCAGGCCATTGCTCGAGTGGAACCCGAATGGGAAGCGGCGATTTGGTAGTCAGTGCGAGAGTGACATGGAGGAGGTGATGCTAAGAGGAGATGAAAGCATGTGGATAGACGTGGAGCCAGGTGAAAACGTTGGAAGAGAACCGAACGAAATGGAGACGTACGGCTTTTAGCCCTTTGTTCCTCTACGAACTAAAGGAAACTATGTACGCACATAACTCGCTCAAAACAACGAATTCACGTTGTTAAACTACCAGAATCTAATGAAGATGAGAAGAGTAATAATTCTGAAATTACCCGAACATATCGTCCCAGCGAATGACTTTTACTCCTAATTCTTTGATGAACGTAATTCTTTTTCCGAAAAATGGGTTATGAATTTATCAAGAAATAAATAAGCTGTACTAATTACAGGTTAACGGACATGTTAGTGTCATTTATTTGTAGCCAGAATTATATTATAAAAAAAATTCAAAATAATTAAAATACTGTTGGGCAGTACCTGTTACTAGCAGTTTCGGATTGGTAAGAATCATTTTCTGTATAGTCGGTTGCGGGAAACCCATCATTTTTGATAATAGCACGTAAACATCCTAAAGGGATCATGAAATAATTGAAGATAACAAACTCTAAACATCGTAAAACTAGAAATCCTAAAAAGCACCAACAATACGATCACGTACGTAAATACATTCCATTCTAATTTTTAGATTGTATAGATCACGCAGTAAAGCGTGTTATTTATTGAGTCACAGTTTTTTCAAATGCACATAACTTAGGTTAGTGAAGCACTGTGTTTAGTCTCTAGAACAACCCTGTCGACATTAAACTGGTTAACTAGCTTCACTAGCTGTGAATTCAGCATCTCTGAGACTATTCAACTGGTATCGCGACACCAAATCAGTTGGAGAAGTAAAACGAAGGTATCTTGACTATAGTTTTGTCCTGGTGATCTGTCCCTGTATCGCTTATGCTTGAAAAAAATGCTGACTTCGCATGGATTTTTTCCACTGATTGCGACTGGTGCATGTTATTGTTGTCGCTGGTTAGGCAACTTCAAAAACCTCTATCTTCTGTATGTTCGCTTGAAGTCATGTCTTTGCTGCTTCTTCTGCTAACTTATTGATTTTCGTCTATAGATTTCGAGTTTGTGTGATACCAGGCAGAAATCATCCATTAAGTCCAGATCTTGTAGAGTCTTCTTGTCAGTTTAACGTGTTCTTGTCCTATCGCTTCCACACACTGCCTGCTGCATGATCCAGTTCACCCTAATCAGGGATATCAACGGCGTTATCAGGCAGTTTTGCCTTAAATTCAAAGGCATCGCTGAGATTTTTTTGCATATCACTTAGCATGGTTGGAGTTGATAAATATTGGAGGCACTTCGTAGTGTTAAAGGAGTTTGCAAATTACTACACGGTCAACTCTGTCGAAGGCCTTTAGAAGGTCAATGAAGTTGAGGTAAAGAGCTGAACCCCATTCTTTGGTCTCTCTCTACCCATGATAACCACAAGAAAAGACCATACTAACTATTTCAGTATCTCATATCCTAAAGTCACTTCATAGTTATACAAAGGCTAAACGGAGATCAGGGTGGGTAATTCTAAGAGAAACCTAGTGGGTTTTAGGTCAAAGTGAGATTGTATTGATTGGTTGGTGATGAAATCTTATTACAGACACAAACAGCTCTTTTAAAACTTGTCAACTTGTGTTATTCCTGGAGTTAACAGGAATTTCGACTATCCTTAGAGTTCCTTATTCAAATACCTAGTCAATTCCACACATATATATAAATGAAGGAAAAAATTGTAACTTGATATGATTATGTGCTCGAAACGTCATCAGCTAATATTACTGTATAACACTGTGTGATTCATCAAAATAAAATTTTATCCATAATGGAGTTATAATCCACCACAGTGCCCAAGTTTTATACTTATATCCTTAAATGCCACTTTATGACTGTTAGGATCAAAATACGCTGAAAGACTACAAGTTTTCCACCCAAAGTATCTTCATTTCAAGCTTGATTGAGGTTGAATCACAAGGTGAAATAATTTTTTTTACGTAAGTGTTAGGTAAAGAAAAATAAACCAGTTGGTAACGTTGTGCATCTCCAGAGATATGAGTGGTCTGTATACTTTACACAAGCCAAGCAAATACTCCCTACGATGAACAATGTTGGAACAAGTTCGTGTGTTATAGTGTCTCACTACTGGTTTGAGCCAAGCAGAAAAGAATCACTATTTGAAGACCTAGCTTTCATTTGAGTATTTCCCATGCATGCGTTTCGACTATATTGTCATCTTATTTATGTTTTCTTTTCCGTAAACTGTTTCCTAATGTGATGAATTAAAGTAATGCACTTCTTTTGCAACTTCTACGTTGATTAGTTATTCAGTTACAGATGGAATGAAATATTACAGGGATAAAAACGAGGGATATACCCCATGCAGAAGTTGTTTAATGCACTGTAAATATTTTCGGACTATACAGTTTAGCAACGTGTTTATTCAAGTTTAGTTTACTTTATCATTATTTGGCAGATGATACCAAACAAAGAATGAAATGGGCTTTGTTGTACGTAAACTCAATTTGACTTATTCATTCAATATTAATATGCACAAAGAACTAACTATATTATCCGTTCTATGGCAATTTACAAACCCTTAGTGTGTAATAAATTTAAGAGTTCTTCACAGAAAAGGATGTATTTACTGTTATAGGCTAAAAGCTCACATATGTGTGCACTGAAATATCTGAAAGTAAACTGTAACTAATACTCACCTTAATTTTAGGTAGCGGATGCACAATAATTTTGGATTCAGTTGTGATTAGGTCAACAATTTCCTTATCTAAATCAGTTGAAATAATAACTTACAAACTTAGCCTACTTTTTAACACGTACAACATCTTTATTTGACCGAGGTGTTTATCTATATCCACAGATGTTTTATTGAGTATAGTAGGTTGTTTACAGATAATTTTAACAACATCGGTTGGTGAGACTTGTCGATCTGTAAAATACGATATTCGCGAGTTGATTTCATCTAGTGAGAGCTAACCAAAATTAAATAAAGATAAAGGCTACCTTTAGTATCTTGGGAAATGCTGTTATAATACGTGCAATTTGTTCAGGCTTGAATCCGAAGTCTGCAAGCTGCCATAATATAGGTTCAACATCAGTGTGGAAATCAAGTTTCACTAACATATTGGCAACTCCCGGCATCTCTTCAATTTTAGATATATCAACCCCGAGTTTCACGAGTTGTGATAGGGTGAAACATCTACAAAATTCGCTTTGTAAGAAACACTTGCATACTTCGGGACATAGGCAGCGAGATTTGACGAAGATGGAAGGACGCGAACCAGCTCATTTAATTCCAGTTCTTTAAACCACTGACGCAATAAAATGACGCTTTCTGCTGGCGTCTGGTTCACGCTTAAGTACGATTTTATATTTTTTGGTGGTAGCTTTTCAATCACCTGAAGTGAGTGTTCGCATTCTCCGTTCATATTTTCTGAAGTTAGTGGTGCAGCAGTAGAACTAACAGAACTTTTAAGGGGAGGTGACACATTGCGCACTGACACCTGTGCAGATTTGACCGGATTCCAGCGGGTCATATAAGTTTTTTGTGTTTTGTAAGTGCTATGCTTTTGTGGTTTTTCGTCAATTTCATGAATACTTTCCCAGGTGTTTGTTTCATGGCGTGAGGGCGGTGCAACACGTTTTTGATTTAAGCTGTTTAGGATTGATTTAATGTATACTTCGTCTGCCGTCATGCTGCACCTACGAAATGTGTGGAGTGTGTCACGGAGATGTCCCACACAACCAATAATTTTGTTCATTCTGGTTAAAATCTGTCAGTTGCTATAAGTGTTCATGCGATACATTGACGTCCTGAAGACGTTTCATTGTACGAACAAAAGTTGCTCTGAAAAACGTCAAAAAAAATGCAATGAATGGAGCATATTAATGAAATGATAGAGGATAGCCATAAAACAGGCAATGAACAGCATTTGTCAAAGTTTCTATGTATGTGGTCAATGTTAGAACTCATGCAAGAAATTCGCGAGTATTTTATAGGACGTTGAGTTTCCTCTCTATACACAACTATCCTCCTGCATTTTATCAAGCAGGTCTACAAACAAGACTATAAAAGACGATTAAGTATAAAAACTCATACTCTATTTGGCACATATTTTATTTGATGAGAAAAGTGACTGTGAGACCTGGCCATTGAGAGTGGAAGACGTCTAAGACCATTGGCGACCTAAGGTATGAATTTTTAACAGGCTGGAGGCTCGTTTATTTAGATTCTGCATATGACACAATCCTATTTAGTGAAAACAGTGACAAAATGTAGTCTTCGGTACACTCTGAGCACAAACCTTTGTATGTTTGGCATGCGATTACTCCCCGTAAAATGAGATAGTGGTAGAGAACTAGTCTGCACTGACTCCTAATTTAGAGATAGCAGAATGTGGTCGAACGTTGAGAAACCACATCAGCCCTAATAGTGATCGCTGACGGAATCTCGTCACATGTACGGAGGGTAAATTTGGCATTTGCTAACTCACGTCATTTGTGGTGCGGAATTAATACAGGAGTTTGCCTTTTTTTACGACTGAAAGACGGTCGTTGAAAGTGGAGAATATGACCAGGTTAGCTGTCTCCAACCATGCGTCTGCATTCTGTTTCATGTGTTGGGTAGTATAGTATAGTCGGGATGGTAAAAGCCAATGGTTGGAAACAATTGGTGACATGGCTCAAAATCGTTCTCAGTGGCGCAGATGCATCCACTCCTTGTGACTTATGATTTCCAATTAAACTGTTTTGTTCTCCGTTATTACTATTCCTTTGTCTCACACCTCTGTTTACTGTCTATATTATGCAGTTCTTCTACTTTCCTTGTGTGCTACATGGAGTGTGGCGACTTGAACTGCCGCACATATGTGCAAAGTTCTATGTCGAAAACCGACCGACCGACCGATAGTATAGTCAGTAATGATGAGTTTAGTTGTAGTGTTAGATTAGGAGGGAATGTTACTCGATGAGATTTTCAAGCAGCATCAGTAAAGTTGGATAAGATACGTGTCAAGTGAGTTAAGCCTTCGTCCTCTTTGTCGAGCAGTGTCAGCCGGTATGGGATTGGAATGGAAAATTTAGATGTGGTGAGAGCAAAGCATGGCATCAGTCCATAAAGTTTGAGAATATTGGTGTGAGCCACATGGGGAGGTGTTCACTACTTGCCTGAAATCCTCGAGGAGCTAAGAACCAGTCGTTGAATGTTATTAAGGATATGGCTCACAGTACTTATTACTGGAGTAGATGTAGTCACTTATCATCAACACCCAGATCCTTTGAACACTCATTCCCACATAATTATTTCTCATGAAAATCTTCTACTTATTGCGTATTTATTGCACTTTTACTCGCGCTTCACAAGGTTTGGCAACTTGAGCTGCTGAACTTTTGTGTGAGATCCTACATGAAAAGTGAGTTCAGTCCAGTGAGAGGATATAATTAATTATAATAACCGGAGCAGTTCGGTATGAATAACAGTTAGGAATTTAAGTTTCGTAGTCCTCTCAAGACAAAGTTGGGTCTGTTACAAGCTAATCCAGGCAAATTAGACAAGCTTCAGGTCCTGGCGATGTACAGTGAATAATATTTTTTTAACAGGTCAGAGAACAACAGTCAATTAAAATACTGATAACTAAGATGGAATAAACATCTGTAGTGCTCTTCCTGCTTTGCAGTCTTGAGAAATACTGATTAAGTTTGTGAAACCAAGACATCAAATACGAAAAGACAAGGCATGCAGTTCAGACAATGACTCGAAATAACTTCTGACTTATATTAATTCTACTTCCTATATACGGTAACGCTCTTACATATATGACTGACTACCGGAATATTTATTATTATCTTCATACACTTAGTCTGATTTTGAAGTCTTTAAGTTTTATATAATCTAGAATACCATCATACAACTGACCTCAGAAAGGCGACCTTGAACGGTTTGAAAGAGTTTAAGGTCGCAATCAAGCCCAATAAAACTATCATGACTGGTGATTCGAATTCAGATTTATTTTTTGAAGATAGAAGGCTTGGAGCCTATGTTAATCCTTTTCTAGTAAATTTCTGTGCTTGTCTAAACCCTTCCTGAATGAGTCAGTTGCGGTTGCAGACACCACTTCTTCTGGGAGTTGGTTCCGAGAGTTTGTGACTCGATGTGAGAACCAGTACTCAACAGCAATATGATTTCTTCTTGGCTTTTGAACTCTCCTGCTATGTCCTCTAAAGTGTTCCGACCTGGTGGGAAGAAAAAAAGAGAATAGGTCAGGTCCGTAGTCATCATTGAAAATTTTAAACATTGTGATTAAATCTCCTCTCTGTCTACGGTATGACAGGGAGAAGAGATTTAAACTGTCTAGTCCTTCCTCGCATAATAAGTTAGTCATGCCGAGAACCATACGTGTTGCTTTCCTTTGAACCCTTTCTAGAATGTGTGAGTCCCCTTTTAGACAAGGACTGGCGGTCTGGATTCAGTTTTCTAGCCTTTACCTCACCAGAGATGTATATAAGGGGGTGAACACATCTCTGGTGATTCTAGTGAAGGCTCTGCGAATTGCCCATAATGGCCTGAAACTACGTGCAGCCATCGCGCGACAGTGTGCTGTAGTACTTAAGTCGTGGCTAACTATGACACCTAAGTACAAGTGAGTCTGAACTGATGGAAGTGTTATTCCCTCTAGTTCGTAGGAGCTGGTGCTTGCTTGTCCAATGCGCATGGTTGCACATTTTGCCACATTGATCGGGAGCATCCATTCTATGGACCACTCTGACAATTTGTTGAGGTCCTCTTGCAACGTGGACGTATCACTGTTGCCCTTCAGCTCTCTCCAAATTTTTAAGTCATCTGCGTATAGGACCATAGGGGAGTCGGTGAGCAGAGATAACTCATTGATATACAAAATAAATAGGAGAGGTCTGAGTACCGTGCCTTGTGGCACTCCGCTGCGTACTGCTGTCCAAGAGGAGAGTTTCGAGTTGATCCTAACCCTCTGCCTCCTATCTATTAGGAATTCCCTGAGCCAGTTTAGTAAGCTGCCTTTGATACCAAGACTTTCCAACTTCATGAGTAGTCTTTTTTGGGAACTTTATCGAAGTCTTTGCTGAAGTCCATGAATACGACGTCAACGATCTCCTGCTGTTCCTCGAATTGACCCAGGTTTCTCTTGTAGTGAGAAGATTTGACAGGTATGAGAGATTGCCTATGAGGCCATGCTGTGCTCTGGATAGCAAATTGTTGCTTTCCAGATATGGCGTGATACTTTTCTTAATGATTCTTTCCAGTGTCTTGATTAAAGTGCTGGTGAGACTGATAGGCCTGTAGTTTGTATGGCTTTGTCTTGATCCTCCTTTGTGGATAGGGTTACTATGGCACCTCTCACGCGGTAGCGCTTCATTAAGGAGAGAGAGCTTGAAGATGGCTGATAGCTCCCTGAGAAGTCTTGGATGAAGATGGTAAGGACCGATTGGTTTCATTGTATCTAGTTTCTGTAGACAGTTGAGCACGATGTCTTGGTCAACGTCAACGCAGTCTATCCTGTGTTCTTCTGATACAGCCAGAGCTGATCCTATAGGGAGTGATGACTCCTATGTGAATAATTGGGGGAAGTAGTCTGCCATTTCTTACGCATCATCTTAATCTTCTTCGATTGTGTCATTGTCAATAGTCAGGTTTGGGACACCATTGGATGTCTTATTCCTGAAGTTCTTGTAAGAGAAAATTTTCTTAGGTTGTGCCTTTGCATTTTGAGCCAGATGTGCTTTGAACCTCATCCTTGATTGGAGGATTTCTGCAATAGCTTTATTCCTAGCAGTGTTGTATAATTTCCTGGTTTCAGGAGTCTCAAGTGTGTTAAACAGGTTCTAACATTTTTGTTTGCGTCTGAGTAACTTACGAACCACTCGGTTTATCCAAGGGGGAGAATAATGTTTCTGACCCTTTGGGACAGACCAGGGGATGAAAAATTCAGTTACTTGGGAGTAAATTTGTTTAAGGTGGTTCCATGCGGCTTCCATTTGGGACTCTGAGTTGATGTACCAGTTCACTGAGTTGGCTGCTTAGGCGATCGCATTTATATCAGCTTTCCAAATGTTTGGTCGAGCTGGGGTTTTGGCCCTTGCTACCGTTGCTGTGGACTTGAAAGTGAGCACAGCATGGTTACTTCTTCCTAATGGAGGATTATGTTGTATGAGATCCACATCCTCGCCATGGGGAACACTAGTTTTCATAGAATATCGCCTTAAGGGAGTTACAGAGTTCTTCCACACAGGTTTCCTCGATGATAACATGTGGTGTCTCCAACGTCGCTTGGATACCTGCAGAGATGGTGTCAATTGTGGTTTCGTCCTTCAGTTTCTGAATGAATCACGGTAGCCTGTCTTTGTTCTGAAAGATTTCAGCTTGACCCTAAGTGTTTGTTGAACTAGATGATGGTCTAAGCCAGCATCTGCCCCCCTCCTGACTTTGTCTCCAGTAGGCTGGTTGCATCTCCACTTTCGTGAGCAATACTGAGATTCAGTCTATGTGGTTTGTAGTGTGTACGTCAGGCGAAATCCATGTTGCGTTTTGTATATCCTTGTGTTTGTACACACTGCCTCCGATCACCAAAACATTGAGTGCACAGAAGTTTGTGAAGAGTTCTCTGATTTCTTTCATTCCGTCGAGCCATTCCCTGCTGACAGTTTAGAATTCATAACGTCTATCAGGATTTTGATGTCACCATTTGGCATGTTCTCCATTGCTGTTTCTAGTTATTGGTGAAATTATTCCTTCTTATATTGTCTCGCGTTTTTTCTGGTGCGTCTTCTAGGTTAGGAGGCGAGACGTCGATTATAGCAACACGCACGTGACCCACGCACCTTCAGTTTCTGCAGCTTTGTCCTAAAGACAAATTTGCGTGATATACCAAAAGGTATGTTTGTACAAAACCACACAAGTAGGATCGCATTAGGAAACTTTCTAAAAGGTTACAGTGAGTTTGTCCGGTGAGATCACTGACTTAGGTGTACATGGTGGGCAGTTTGCTGCTATTTCAGTATTTACATATGTAGGGAACTGTAAAATCAGTACTTTGTAGAAGGGTGTTTACAAGAAATGCATGCCATTTTTACAGGCACCATCACTTATTTTATAAATTACATTCTTCAAATATCGTACTTTCGACGCTCACGTCATCGTACCCGTAATCATACACTATCTTGAGATCATCTGCAAAGAGGTATGGCTTGCCATACTTGATCACAGAGACTAGGTCATTTGTGAATAAGAGGAATAGAATAGGGCCAAGAACGCTTCCTCGTATTACACCACTAGTTGTTGGCTTTGGTGAATTAAGTTGGTGGTTGATTTTGACTAATTGCTCTCATTCTGTGAGAAAAGAATTAATCCACTTTAGAAACTTCCCACTTATTCCGTAGTATTGGAGTTGTGTTAGGAGTTTGATGCCTGCGACTTTATCGAAGACTTTGCTAACGTTGAGAAATAATGCTGTTACTGAGTGCCCATTATCTATGCATTGTGTAATGTAGCCGAAATAATCTAAGTTGCAAGTAATGCACGGCCTTTTATTTAAGAAACCTTATTGGGGTAGGCATAGTAAGTCATTTGAGAGCAAGTACTGAATGATTAGAGTCTTTACTATCTATCAGATAGGAGAAGAATGACCTGGCTCTCTTGGCCACACCACTGACTGCAAGGGTATCGGCCCACTGGTCGGTGGAGTTGAGGCAATTCTGAACTTCCCGAAGCCGTATACGGGGAAATGTCTTCGCACTTTTAACAGCTTGATAAGATATTATCTACCCATTTTGGAAAAGAACTACTCTCTGAAATGTCCCTAATCAAACTGACGTTGGCCAATAAATTGCCGCTTTCTCATAATCATGTTCACAACCAACTGATCGCCTAACTCGACATTGAGAAATAGTTCGTCAAGACATTGCCAATCTGTTAGATCGTTTCTCCTTTGAAGGACGGCTTTAACCATCTCATAGGGATTGCTTACCTCTGGGCTTGTCATTTGCACAGTAACGCATTCGCTCAGTTCCCGCAGTAGGGCGTGGACGACTGCAAGGAATTGTGAATGTTGGTCAGTTAAATTATGTTCACTGAAATCAAACTCCGCTACCTGAAACCATGATTCTACATTATCTAGCCAAAAAGGTGTGGACTGAACAGTATTGCTAGTTGGTTGGATACGGATGAGTTTAGGAGGATGCTCACTCATGGAGAAATATACATTTCAAAAATAGTTTATACAATTGATATAATAATAGAACTTGTGAACTGAAGTGGAGTATAATTCCATTATGGGTATTATCTATTTTGATAAAATTTCAGTGTTATGCAGTAATATTTACTGATGACGTTGGGAGCACAATTTATTGCTCATAATCATATCATAACAAATACAAAATGGAACGAACTCACCGGATTTGTCTCCGTGTTTACCAGAGATGTAGTTCGCGATAAGACTCACCAGTTTAGAGGCTGAGGGTGTTGATGTTAACAGACAGTACGAAGTATACTGCTGCTTCTAAAGCCCCATCGGATACATCCACGATGAATACAAGAGGAGCATCTGGGTTGAGATATTGGAGTATTGTTTCTCTCAGCAGGGGATCTTAGATGTGCAGCTGCGTCAGTTGTCTCTTTTGACGACTGAAAGTCTATCGATTTTCTCCTAAGGGCATAGTCCCAGTGCTACGCGTACTGTGCACAGTTAATAAACTGAAGTTGGTAATCGAATTCCTCTCTCGCTGTTTTCAGCTTTTCCGGACAATTTTTCGACCAAATTTTGAAGTTTCAGGGTTGGTTGTGATTTAGGTTGAAAATTGTGCCAGTATTTCCCAGGACTTTTCGGTTGATAATGGCAGAGGTTGGACTAAATTTAGTGAATCGTGATCATTCGTATAAAGGGACATTTCTTATACCTCTAGCTGCCTCTTT